ATTCCTGGTGCTGGTGGTTCTGATCCATTGTCTCTAATATAGCTTCTTCCAATCGGCGGGCAAGTGCATTACCTTGAGCAATTCAATTAACTACTTTTGAAGAAAAGTGAAATACTTTAGAAATACCTAAGTTTGTTTTGAGAACAAAGTTCCATGAAGACCACTGGTCGTCCAAGTGATCTTGACGAGCACCTAATCCCATCTCTCTAGTCCCAAGAGCTGCAGGATTCATCCATGACCAACCCCTCTCAATATTCTCTCCGTCGACTCGAGCCATCCAAGGACGATAATTGAGAGAAAACTTTGTCTGGCATTCTTCTCCATGTCCATAAATATGAAATTTAGGGATAACATACTCGATTGAATGCTGCTGTGAGTTGTAAAACTGGAGTTCTGGAGGGAAGAGACTAAGACGCCTCCGAAGCTGGTTAACACTCCATCGACATGCAATATCATATGACACAACAGTACGAGGTGGGAGTTTTCCTTGGAAGGATGACCAGAAAAGATAATCCATTGTATGATAACTTTGAAAAAGTTATCAGTTTAGTACTTAATGTTGTATAGATCCTTCAATACCTTTCTCCACGAGATAAATCACCAGTCCCATTCGGCTGAACAAACATGTGCCGGCACTGTACTGCTCCAACTCCACTAGCAACATATTTTGAGTTCCCTTTAAGATTGGCATGGTCCACAGCATGTAAATTAGAGTCACAGTACATAGGTGCCTATAAAGAGTGTTCTTCTTAGTAAAAGTCCATTTTCTTATAAGAGATACTTACTTCTTCTGCCTGGTTACAATGACTAGTAGTTCCCAGAAAGTTTTTAAACTTATCAATACTGACATAGTATGCAAGACCTGAACCAAGAGGTTTATCATTGACAGTTGATCTTATCTTGCATTTTAACCGGAAGTTTGCATCAAGCATAAGAAACTTTGTAGATTTTGCCCAGCTATAAGATGTGAGTTAGTTAGGAGTTAACAGTAGGTTGAGAAAAGCTTTAAGTACATACAATGAGTCCTGACTATTATAAGGGAGAGTTGACTTGAACTTTATAGTCTCATTGTCCTCCCAGTCTGTTGAGGAAGGACAGGCAGGGCAAATAATTGCACACGATCCTTCAGGAGCATTTCTGACGCTACCAGAGAAATAGGTAACTCCAGAGCGTTTCAGCATCTTTAAATGGCGCCAGAGTCTAGTAATTCGCATAAACTCATCATATCGTTTCTAGAAAAACAGTTATCAGAACAAATTCAACATGAAATAAACTTTAAGACTACAAACAGGGGGAGGATCAATACTAGTATTGTCTGTCTTTCGAATGAGTGACTTATAGTAATTGTATCCTGTTACTTTGCCTTGTAGTGAGAGAATATGGAAGTCGTTTAGGCAGGTGAATGATATAGCTGTTCTAGGCTGCTGAGGTGTTGCTGGAAACCATCCATAGTGTAGCAACTGGACATAATGACGTGATGCAAACCCATCCAAAATACTACACCCACAGAACACAACACAAACACTATGGATCCCAGTCACATCAAGAACAGTGAATTTGATAGGTGTTGTTGCAGGACAGTAGCAAATAGGCTTCTCTGGAGAATGCTGATGGTTTAGATAGACCACCATGCCAATACTGTGTAGACTTGTTGGTTTCCAGTATGATCCTGACCAGATCTTTACTGAACATTAATAAGATAAGTAAAATAAAAGAGGTAAGAGACTTTCCTCAATACAATGGAGAACCATTTGAGTATGCTGCTCCAAAATACATTCCTTACATAAAGTCCTTCCTCTTGAGCAGTTGAGACACCTATAATACTCAGATAATTGAGCTGAGCATCTGGAGCATTGGTGGACCAGATTAGCATCATAGTGTGTCAGCTCAGCAAGAAGTTCGTCTCGAATTGGCACCCATTCTTCAAAGAGTATGTCTCCCTGTATCATGCGAGTCATAACTTGATTAGACATTGCAAATAATATAAATCACTTACTTTGTGTGATTTATGAGAGGCATTAGTGTTTTCATTGTCACTAACCTTGTTTTCTGAGTCAACAGGACAAAACCCAGAATTACAAAGTTCCTCTGGCTCAAAGTATTGTGGTTCTACACCAGAGAGTGGGTCCTCTACTCTATCATTGAAAGATTCAGTGATAGAATTGTCATCAAAGAGATAATTCATGTCTGTGTTGTAGCTGCTTGAATGCATGCTATGATTGAAGCTGGAGAGCCTATCATTATGATGAGTATCTGTAAACCCTGTACCACCCTTTTCAAACGTTGTATGCGTTCGTGCTCGTACTTTCAACTTGGAGCCTAGAAAAACATTGTAGTGTCGTGTTAATGGCCCAGTCGTGCTTGAAGAGATCGACCAAGTGGAATGTTTGATGTAAGGTCTGAGCCACCTCTGTCAAGAATGACAACTGGTCGTCTCGATTTCTTTGATTTGCTGTGTTTCTTGATAGCCATTGGACTTTAGAAGGTGAAGT